ACCAAGCAACTCTCACCACCCCTCTCCCCAACTCCCCCTTCGCACCCCTCCTCAATTGAAAATCACAAAAATAAATTCCCAAAACACCTAAAAGTTCCCAAGGTTGAGAAACACTGATCTGGAGAACTAGAGCCTTAAGGTTGGTTCCAAGTCGGACATACAACTCCATGTGTATTCCCACTGAGAATACTTGAGTATTTTAAGGTGTGTTGCACCTTGTTTATGGTATGTTCAATAGACACACTTTCTACATACAGCAGCAAGGCCTTGATTTTACGAGATTTTTATGTGCAAGGGGAGAGAACAAGCACCCAATTTTCTCCCCAGGGCAAAAACTACCTCTGCCATTTCTTTGATCTTCTGTTCATAAAACTCCCGCTCCAGCTGTACCGGGGGCAGGAGAGAGAGCTGGTCGTAACTCCTCCAGTGGCGCCTCTTGTTCTCCAAGAAGAACATGCGCTTCTCAATCTTCATGTCGCCTAAAGCATGGTTTGAAAGAATGGCAGGTCATTAAAAAAAAATCAAATGCTCCTCTTAATGAAGAAGACCTCTGCAGAAGAAGCAGAGCTCCCCATAAAGCAAGAACCTTAACAAAGAAATCTCCTATTAGAATGCAAGTCCAGACCTAGGAACCCAACTGCAGGAAGTGGCTGGAGCTGGTTCCCTTCCTTACAGGGAATTATCCCCCGGGATTTGGATAGATAAGTTTTGCTCCCAGCTATCTAGCTGCTGTTTATACAGCTTTACTTTAGAGCATGCTGCAGAAAAATGCTGATCACTATTAGGGCTGAAGGCTCAGGATAAGGAATACAAGGACTCCTCACTTAATGACTACAATTGGAACCAGAATTTAGGTCGCTAAGTGATGCGATTGTTAAACAAATCATCACATGACTGGACCTGGTTTTACGACCTTTTTTGTGGTGGTCATTAAGCAAATCATGTGGTTGTTGAGCAAACCACATGGTTCCCCATTGATTTTGCTTGCCAGAAGCTGGCTGGGAAGGTCACAAATGGTGATCACATGACCCTGGAACGCTGCAACCATCATAAGTGCAAGCTGGTTGCTAAGCATCCAGGTTTTAATCACATGATTGCAGGGGGCACTGCAATGGTCATAACTTGGGGCACTGGTCGTAAGTCACCTTTTTAGCACTGTCATAACTTCGAACAGTCGCTAAATGAATGGTTGTTAAACGAGGACTACCTGTATGGCCAAATGGGAGGAAGTGGTGTCCCATATATCTGGAGGCTAACAAGCGAGGCTAGGCCGAGCTGAGCTGGGCTGCTTTCCTTCCCTTGGCAACGAAACTACTTTGCAAGGGTTCCAAAGCAGGACCAGCCTCCAGTGTAAAAGAAAATTTCACTGCTGGAGGGAAAATGCCAAGGAACGTTGATCTGGGCATCTTTGGAGAGTCAACGGAGCCTACCTTGAGATCTACCAGAAAATGCTTTCTTAAACATTCATGCTGAAATACTGAGGTGGAGACACATCTCTTGGGGTACAACTGTCTGGGCTTTTATATTTTGCCACCAGCAGTTTGACCCATCTCTGGAAGGTCACAAAGAAACTGATTACCTTGCTCAAATTTGAAGTCTATGTAAGAATACTGATTCATTTCTTTCCTCCTTTTTCGCTTGCCGCTGGTTTCAGGAGATAACTCTTGCCATTTTTTAATGGCATCAGAAAAGGCCTAAAGAAAGAGACGGGGGGGAAGGCAGTGAACCGAGACGTGGAGATGGAAGCACAAATGTAATTAAAGCTTCCGCAGCTATCTGTAACAGGGAGGATTAAGCCTGCACGCTACTCTCCAAGGCAGATAGGCAAAAGGAGGCCTCGGGGCCTACGTGCGGCTCCCAAATTCCAGGTGCAACTCAGTCTTTGGAAGGCTGTTAACAAAATGTCACTTTTACAGGGACAGAAGAAAATTACTACCTATACAACTGGAGAATAATCCAGTATTAACTCTGTTTAATTAAATTAATTGTCAATGAAAGCAAACCAAATACAGAACTTTGTCCAGGTCTCACTCCTGCTCTCTCTGGAGGGAGAACCAAAGCACCCAACTCTAGTGGCAAGGCCCCATGAAAGAGCAAGACATCCTATGCTTGAAGACCCCACAACCAACCCCCAAACTAATTCCAACCCCCATGCAACAGGCCAGCATAAAGACTCCCGTGCGCATACTGGCACGGAGCACCTGCAAATTAGACTGGTGGCTTATCTAATTTATCACCAGCCCTGGACTGAGGACAGAACAGAACCTCACTGGAGCCAATCAAATTTGAATCAATGAGGTTGTCAGTGGCTTGATTCAGTCACATTTGAATCAATCCAACGTCCTACACTCGCCTGGTAGCGTTCCCTGCTTTGGGATCTTACCCAGATCTCGCTTTACACTCTGAGATTTTAGAAATGACTGCGGTCCTAGAGAGTACAAAGCAATGGAAAACTCAGAGGCAGAAGAAAGTTGGAAACTTCCTTTTTAGAATGGCATTTGGTTGGCAGGGAATTGCTCTTAATGTCTCCTGAGCCAAGCCTCTCAGACATAGAATGGTAAGCATGCAGCTGTCTTATAGGAAATAGATTAACATTCTGTTAATATGGACTCTTTATGTTTTTAATCATTAAGCTGTTATCCAGATTTTGCTTATTGCCCTGTTCCTGGGAATCAGTTTTTCTGCACTATTTCTTCCAAGTTATTGCTAATTGTCTAGGAAATGTTACAGACAGTAAAATGCTTTCGATCAACAGGAAGGAGATGGCCAGAATTATTCTGATGGTTTACGTTGCCTTTTTCAAGCTTTGCAGACTTTTCTCTATTGGAGGCCCTCAAACTCTGATTCCTTTCTGAGCCCTGGCTGGGTACCATCTTCCTTTCAGACCTAAAGGATGGATCTTCAGGCAAAGGAGAGGGAGAACCAAGAGGGAAGAACCTTTCGTGTGATTGCATAGTGTCCCCTGAGTTCATGGAGCGCCCACTTGATGTCTTGGCTGCTCAGCATTTTGAAGTCTGCCATGAGAAGGTCAGCGGCCTGAATGAAGCAACGTTGATCAAGCGGATCAAGTTGGGAGAAGTCAAAATAGTCCACTTTAGGCACCTAGAAGAGGCAGGTGGTGGTGGTGGTGGTGGTGGTGGTGGAGGAAGAGGGGAGGAGGAGGAGGAAAACAGAAAGGAAATATGTACAGGCTTGGCCACTCTTGAATGTTTAATGCATTTCTGAAGCTGTGGGGTTCTTGGTGTGCTCCGAGCTTGGCTGTTTTCCTGCAGACCCGCATGCCCAGGCGAGGTCACCTCGTTAGTGCATGGGTGAGTCGAGTTTGCTGGCTGTTTAAAAGGCTGGCAAGACCAGCCAGCAAATTGCATTCTCCCTCGGAGTCATGAGATTACCTAGCCTGGTAATGAAACATCTATAGGAAAACAACCAAGCTTAGAAAACACCAAGAACCCAAACACTCAACTCTGAGCTACGGCTATTCCCCACTGTCGCATTTCTGAAGTTTTAGCCCATCTCTCTCCCCAGGAGTTCAAAGTAGCACACGACCCGTCTCAACGTTTTCAGTCTTTATTTTATTCTTCATTTTTATTGGGGTGCAAATGATGTCTGAACCATGGCCTGTGGTAGAGCAGCAAGGTCACTGTGAGGCATTTATAACTAATGGATAGAAACATAGGATGGAAGTTTATATACAAAGCACACATTTGGGCAGCTTTCAGGGGAAACAGGGAGAAATTACGCCTTTCTTAGTTTTGACAGCTATGTTCAGCTCTAAATTCAGAGCGCTACCTAAATTCTACAGGGGCCACTGAGGAATCAGCAACAATTGGGGACCACTGTGGTGTAATGGTTAAGTTCCTGAGCCTGAGACCAGGGGAAACAGGTTAAACTCAACCTCTCTTTCATGAATTTTTGGGGTGAGGTTATTGTTTACTGTGGGCACCGGGGGGGGG